GATGGACATTTAGGCACATGCCTTGGCTTATGTAACTAGTGCTGCACTGAGCATGGAGTGCAGATATCTCTTCAAGACAGTGATTTCACTTCCCTTGGGTATGTATCCAGAGCTGAGATGCTGGGATTGTATGGTAATTGTTTTTACTTTTTGAGGAACGTCCGTACTGTTTTCCATAATGGTTGTACCAATTTACATCCGTACCAACAGGTCACAGGAGTTCCCTTTTTTCCACATCTTTGCCAGCAGTTGTTATTTCTTGTCTTTTTTATAATAGCTACTCTGATGGCTATCAGGTGACATCTCATTGTGGTTTTCATTTGTATTTCCTGTTTTTAAAAAAATCTTTATTGTTGAGAGTATTACATATGTCTCCTCACCCCCCCCAATTGACCCCCTCCAGCACACACTTACCCCCATCCCAGGCCTTCACCACCCTATTGTCTGTGTCCAAGGGTTATGCATATATGCATACAGGTGATTTGTATTTCCTTGATGATTACTGATGTTGAGCACTTCTTCATGTACTTATTGGCCATTTTAAGTATCTTTGGGAAAAATGTCAATTCAGGTCCTCTGCCCGTTTCCTAACTGGATTATTTGTTTTGTTACTGAGTTGTATGCACTCTTTTATACTTTGAATATTAGCCCCTCATCCGATAAATGATTTACAAATATTTTCTCCCATTCAGTCGGTTGCCTTTTCATTTTGTTGTTTCTTTTGTTGTGTAGACGCTTTTAAGTTGGCTATGGTCCCACTTGTTTATTTTTGCTTTTGTTGTTTGTGCCTTTGGTGTAATGTAAAAAAATCACTGACAAAATTAATGTCAAAGAGCTTTCCCCCTGGGTTGTATTCCAGGAGTTTTATGGTTTCAGGTCTTACACTTAAGTCTTTAATCCATTTTGAATTGACTTTTGTAAGTGGTGTAAGACAGGGGTTTCAATTTCATTTTTTTGCACATGAATATCCAATTTTCCCAGCACCATTTATTGAAGAGACTATCCTTTCTCCATTGATTATTCTTGGAGAAATAAGTGTCACTGGGCTATGATACTTGAATTTCCAATATTAGTTAACTCTATCTGTGTGGGTTTATTTCTGGGCTTTCAATTCTGTTTCATTGATCTGTGTGTCTGTGGATTTCTGTTTTTTGCTAGTACCATTCTGTTTTGATTTCTGTAACTTTGTAATATAGTTTAAAATCAGAGAGTGTGATGCCTCCAACTTTGTTCTTTTTCAAGATTGTTTTAGCTGTTCAAGGTCTTTTGTGAATCCATACAAATTTTAGGATAGTTTCTTTCTATTTTTATGAAAAATGCCTTTGGAATTTTTATGGAGATTACATTGAATCTATAGATGGATTTGGGTATATGGACATTTTAATAATGTTAATTCTCCTGATCCATGAACATGTGATATTTTTCTATTTATTTGTATCTTCAATTTCTTTCATCAATGTCTTATAGTTCTCAATGTATATATATTTTAATTCCTTGGCTAAATTGATTCCTAAATATTTTATTGTTTTTAATATTATTGTAAATGGGGTTGTCTTCTTTATTTCTTTGATAGTTTTTTGTTAGTGTATAAAAACATAATTGATTTTTGTGTGTTGATTTTGTATCCTGCAACTTTACTGAATTCATTTATTAGTTCTAACCGTTTTTTTTGGTGGAATCTTTAGGATTTTCTGTATGTAATACCAAGTAATCAGCAAAAAGAGACAATTTTACTTCTTCCTTTCTGATTTGGATATCTTTTATTCCTTATTCTTGCCTAATTGCTCTGGCTAGGACTTCCAGTACTGTGTGGAATAGGTGTAGTGAGAGTGGGTACCTTAGTTTCGTTCCTGATCTTAGAAGAAAATATTTCAACCTTTCACTGTTGAGTATGATGTCGCTATGTGCTTGTCATATATGGCCTTTATTATGTTAAGATATGTTCCTTCTGTACCCACTTTTTTTAGAGTTTTTATCATGAAAGGATGTTGAATTTTGCCAGAGGATTTTTCTGAATTTATTGAGATGAGCATGTGCTTTTTAGTCTTTCATTCTAGTAATATGATGTATCACATTTATTGATTTGTGTGTGTCATACTCTCCTTGCATCCCAAGGGTAAATCCCACTTCTTCGTGGTGTATGATCCTTTTAATGTGCTGTTGAATTCTGTTTGCTAGCATTTTGTTGAGAATTTTTTCATCTATATTCATCAGAGATATTGGCTTATAATTTTCTTTTCTTATGGTATCCTTATCTGGCTTTGGTATCAGGATAATGCTAGTAGTCTTCTATAATGAGTTTGGGAGTATTCCCTCATCTCCAATTTTTTGGAAGGACTTGAGAAGGATTGGAGTTAATTCTCCTTTAAATTTTATTAGAATTTATCTGTGAAGCCATCTGGTCTTGGGCTTTTGTCCTTACTCATTTGTCTGTTCAGATGTCCTATATCTTCCACGATTTAGTCTTGGTAGGTTGTATGTTTCTCGGAATTTATCCATTTATTCTCGGTAGTTAGGGAAAGTTTTATATCAGTGGAAGGAAATGTTCACCAGTCAAGGTCCATCCCAGAGGCCAGCTAAGGGCCAGACTTGCAAGCGGACCTTTGTAAGGACAATGGTCCCCACGCCCATTTAATCCTCTCGGCATCTGCAGGATCCAAGAAATTCAACAGCAAACACATGGGGGATTCAGCACCAGGCAAAGCTAAGTCTTTGGCCCCCCTGCCACTCTGCCTCCTGTTCCCTGACTTCCTGTCCCTCCTTCCCATTTCCCTTTTTGTCCAAGGCTGTGCCTCCTTTTCCTGATCCATCCCCAGTAACAAACCTCCTGTCTACTTACTTCGTCCAACGGAGACAACAGCTGTGCATTGAGACACATTTCTCAGTTAATCCTGGGTCATTTCTTTCCCAAACCGAAGAACTGAGGGAGACAGTGGAGTCCCTCTCATGTCTGCAGGTTCAGGTTCCAAGAAGCCAAGACTCTGAAACACATGGTTTCCTTAAAGGGGAGCATTGGTCCCATAAACATCCCCATCGAACCCTGGGGCGAACCCCTCCGTCACTCAGCTGAGTGTGATACCGTGCGGAATAAAATTTACCCAATCCCTGTTTCTCATGTTCCAGGTCCAACAGTCAGCCCTAGAACAGGAGGTGGAACGAGAAATCAGACCTGCCCTCACAAGCTCATAGTCCAGTAAAAGCAGAGGCGACAGGCGTGAAAACAAACATTACAACGCCTTCCCCTCTGTCCTCACACCTGCACAGCACGTCCCAGGGTCCCTTGTCTGTGCTGTGATCTGATCCTCACACCCACGCTGTCCGGAGGGCAGGGTGGGCGTCACCATCTGCATTTTCCTGATGCGGAAACCAAAGCCTCTTAGCGAGGACGTGACTCCAGGGGCCGTGGGATGGGGATGGCGCTTGCTGGAAGCCCAGCCTCCCCGGGACCAGCAGGGGGCAGCTCAGAGGCCTCTGTCCTCTGTTTCCTGCCTCTCGTCCTCTTCGGCAGTTTTCAGGATCACGTTTGCCTTCCCCTTAGGTATATATCCCAGCCCACTGGGCTATGACACTTGGGACTACTCGAACCTGGACCCAGAGAGGTTCCGGAGAGAAGGGTTAATGTCGAGGCGAAGACGATGGAGAAGGGGTAAGGTCCCGCTTACGGACTCCTGTCCCCTTCCCCCCGGTCACGCCCAGCCACCATCTAGCTGGAGCAGGGAAAGGCCTTCCTATTGAAATCCTCAGGCCAGGTTCTCTCTCATGGATCCCCAAACCAGCCACCAAACTGACTGACATGTTCATTTAGGAGCCACAGTTAGTCAGCGCAGCGTCATTGTTGGTGGGGGGGGCGCGGTATTTTATATTATAATAATAGATGCCAGTTACGGTCTGCCGCGTGCCAGGCACCATGCACAGCTCTTCATCCTCTTTACTGAATCTTCACCACAACGAGCTGAAGGACACACTGAGTCCTCAGATGAGGGGACTAGAGTTCAGAGAAGCAACTTCCCCAGGCCAGCTTCCTTCCTGCAGTCAGCAGGTGCATGCAGAGCACCGTGTGCCGGGCCTGTGCCCGACAGACACGAGGATCCCCGGGGAGGCCAGCTCCCTTCCTGCAGTCAGCAGGTGCATGCAGAGCACCGTGTGCCGGGCCTGTGCCCGACAGACACGAGGATCCCCGGGGAGGCCAGCTCCCTTCCTGCAGTCAGCAGGTGCATACAGAGCACCGTGTGCCAGGCCTGTGCCCGACAGACACGAGGATCCCCCAGGGAGGCCAGCGCAGCCCCCGCCGCGCAGTCCTGTGGGAAATACAGGCAACACGATGATGCCGCAGTGAACGGGGCACTGAGACGGGGAACACGGTGCTGAGCGGCCCGGGGAGGGGCACCCAGTCCAGCCCTGAGAGGTTCAGTGAGTGGCAGGTAGGCCGAGATTTAAAGGATGTGTGGTTTAGGCTGCAAAAGGGAAGACGCCTGTTCCAGACAGAGGGAACAGCAGGTGAGAAGACCCAGAGGCATGCGGGGAGCAGAGAGGCATTCCTGTGGCAGCAGCGGGAGGACCGGGAGAGATAAGCAGCCGTGGGTGGCTGAGGCAGGATTCAAACTCAGGACTTCGGAGTGTGGTCCAAGGACCTGCAGCTCAGCATCCCTCTCAGCGGTTCTCAACCTGTGGGTCACGACCCCTGAAAATACATCCTGCATATCAGATATTTACATGACGATTCATAACAGTAGCAAGATTACAGTTATGAAGTAGCAACGAAAATAATTTTATGGTTGGGGGTCACCACAACATGAGGAACTGTATGAAAGGGTCGCGGCATTAGGAAGGTTGAGAACCGCTGCTCTAGCTGCACTGAATCAGACTGCAGTCTACCATGATCTGCTGTGATCGACAAGCACGTTCTAGTTTGAGAAGCCCTGGTGCAGGGCACAGGGAAGAACACACCGACAGCCTTGGCGGACAGTGCGGCTGCGGTGACCGGCTGGAGATGAGGATTCTCAGAGCCCGGCGCTGCTGTGTGTTCCTTTCCTACATGTTTACAGTTACTGGCTCACATGATAGGTTTGCTCTCCCAGCAGTGGTCATGGGCACACAGGAGTTTCAAGGTGAAAAGAAAATCTAACCTGTAAATTGTCTTCAAATGTAATGACATTTCAGTTAATACTCATTTTAAATCTTATGAGATTGATAGGTTGTTACTTTTTAAAGCATTTAACCCAGCATTTATTCATTTCAATTTTGCTGGGTTCTGAGGGTTTGGTTCTTCTTTTGAAGTCTTTTTTTTCCCTGTGCATTGAGTGCTTGTCCTGTGTACTCTGCATACATATTTCCTGTCATTGGTTCATTGGCCCTGTGAGGTAGTTAGTATTCATACCTTCAATGGGATCAGAGAGGTTAGGTAACTTGCCCAAGGTCACTCAGGAAGTGGTTCTGCTTTGCCCGAGGCAGGTTCTTTTGCTGTTGCTATTGCCTCCAGGGAGGGGGCAGTCTGCAGACCAAGGCTCCTGGTCTGCAGTGTCACCCAAGACATGAAGGATCTGAGGAACAACTTTTTCTCTTCCCTAGGAAAACAGATGTCTTTCCTCATTCCTAAGGCATACTTTTCTTACAAGGCTGTCCAGAGCGGCAAAGTCCCCTGTTCTCAGGTGAGTGGGGAGGCACAAACCCAGGCCCCTTGGAGCCCCATAAGCTCCAATGCCATCCGGTTAGTCCCACATCTCTGCACTCCTCACCCCACCTTCTTGGGAGGGGTGGGCCTGGATTTTCCCAAGTCCCAGAGCATGGGCACGGTGCGGGGCCTGGACACGGTGCGGGGCCTGGGCACGGTGCAGGGCCTGCTAGTACCAGATCTCAAAGCCCAAGCCCCTCTCAGGTATTTCTGGGCATCTCCGGATTGACTCTCGCGTTGTCTCCTGCTTTCCTGGGTCCTCAGCGTGCGCAGTCTGAGCAGCAGGGTGACCACGGGGGGTAGAATGGTTCCATCTCTGTGCTGTGGTGGGGAGGGGGCCCCAGAGCAGTCTTAATATATATATTATTAATTTCAGAGAGGAAGGGAAAGGGAGAGAGAGAATCATTGATCGGCTGCCTCCTGCACACCCCCTACTGGGGATCGAGCCCGCAACCTGAGCATGTGCCCTTGGCCAGAATCAAACCTGGGACCCTTCAGTCCGAAGGCCAACGCTCCATCCACTGAGCCAAACCGGCCAGGGCGCAGAGCATTCTTACGTTACCCCCATCCCAACGATGTCACCTAGCCTCATACACTCGGGGTAGTTGCTGGTCACAACATGAGAATAGATAGAAAAGTAATTGGACAGTCCATCGTGGGCAGATTGTCTTTGCAAATATCCTCTCTAGTCCTTACAACATTTCTGCTAGGTCGGTAATGATTATCTTTTTTAACAATATATATTTTTATTGATTTCAGAAAGTGAGAGGGAGAGAGAGAGAAACATCAATGATGAGAGAGAATCATGGATTGGCTGCGTCCTGCTTGCCCCAATACGAGCCCGAAGCCCGGGCATGTGCCCTGACCGGGAATTGAACTGTGACCTCCTGGTTCATAGTTCGACGCACAACCACTGAGCCACGCCAGCGGGCGGTAATGATTATCTTTATTCGGCAAAGGAAGACATGTCTCCCAGAGCTGAATCACTTCCCCTGGGCCACACAGCTGACGTCAGCTGACGTCAGGACGCTGTCAGCCTGGGCTCCTTCTACATCATTATGCTGCTTCTCCAACAAACAGGAGAGTCTAATAACGCAAATCAAGCCGGTCTCTGCATTTGTTCTCTGCTCTACTGTCAGGCTCACTGAGGCCTGTTAAGAATGAACATGGGATGTGAGGGCGATCTGGCTGCGACATCTGTCACCCCATTGATCGCCAGGGTTGATTCGGCTGATCTGGCTGGCTAGGCGGGTGCCCCCCTCCTCCCTCACCGATCCATGTGCATCCCTCCTGAAGCTGTGCGCTCGGTCGAAGAGGACGACCTTCCCGCCAGGAGAGGACCAGTCTTGGGTCAAGGGTATACGAGTAGCTGCGCTCCCCTGCTAGAACCTCCAAACAAGCTCTCAAGAATGAACATGATGCTTCATTGAGCCCTGGGAGTATTTTCTCTCTAACAAATCCCAGTCACCACTTTAAACTATAAACATCAGTATCTGTTGCACAGCCAGCTGCATGGTGTATGGGAAGTCCTTTCAGCTCTCTTCTCTCTAATCAAATATCATCTCTATATATTTATATATATAAAAGCCTAAGCGACTGAACGACCGAATGACCGATGGACCAGTCGCTATGATGTGCACTGACCACCAGGGGCCAGACGCTCAATGCAGGAGCTGCCCCCTAGTGGTCAGTGTGCTCCCACAGGGGGAGCGCCGCTCAGCGGACTGATGCTGGGCTCACAGCTGGCGAGCACAGCTGCAGAGGGGCAGCGGGGCCAGGATGAGTGGGAGCGCATGGCGCTCGGCCGCCTGCTGCTTCGTACACGACTACATCCCCCGAGGGGTCCCGGATTGCGAGAGGGCGCAGGCCAGGCCGAGGAACCCCACGGGTGCACGAATCTGTGCACCGGGCCTCTAGTATTTTTATAAAAGCAAAGTGGCAGTTGTTGAGACTGGTGGGCTGCTCGTCTGCCACTTGGTGGGCCATCTGTTTAGCGTCACTAAACTCCTACTCATCCTTAAAGACAGAACAGTGTCTTCTCTCCTTGGAAACCCTCTGGCTCTCCCAGCCGAGTGAGTCCCCCAGACAGAACGCAGCATTCCCACTCTGCCTTCTTATGATGCGCTGCTCGCACTGCGTCCGGCCTGCTCTCGGTTGGGCCGCAGTGTCTGCTGTTCCCTTCCTCTGTAGGAGAGAACCTCTGGTTTTCATCTGGGCACTGACGTGGCCAGATACAAGATTACTTCCTAGCCTCCCCGACATGGGTCGCCATTCGACAGACCCAGTTAATGAGATTGGGGGGAGGATGCCGGGGGGTGTCCCGGGAGCCTTACGGAAAGAGCACAGTGAGTCCTTTGTCTCTGCTGTTCTCTCCATTCTGCTCCCTGGAATGTGAGTGTAAGGGCTGGAGCGCTAGCTGTCATTTTGGACCCTCAGGACAAGGTTTCTATCCTAGGGAGGGTGGAACCTTGTGCTGGAAGAAGTCGGAGGCCTGAAGGGCTTATCCCAGCAGAAATACAAACATTGTCTGCCTTCAGGCTGTGATGTGGGAAAGAAGTTCCTCCTAGTTTGAGCCACTCTGTCACTCACAGACACACCTGATCTTCTCTCATAAATGCGTGACACTTTTCACACCTCAGCATAACTGTCTGTCGCTGTTCTCTCCCCTGCTGCCTGGGCGCTCCTCTGCGGGGACTGGGTTTCAGGTGGCCCCGGTGCATGGCTCGGTGAAATGTTTCCTGAAGGAGGTGCGGTGATGGCGCGGACAGCGGTCGCTGTTTTCACAGAGCTCTGCCCATGAGCAGCACCCCTGCACTTTGCACGCGATAGCTGCCTTACTCTCACAAGAACCCCACGAGGAAACAAAGGCATCGAGAATCCGGTGACGTGCCCAGGACCGCCGGCGGTCGAGCAGCAGGTCCGGGACGGGAACCCGGCGCCTCAGTCCCCGGCCCTTGCATTTTCTACATTAGCCTCTTCTCTCCACCAAGTTCCCGGGATGAAGGCCTGTGTTGTCAAGCTGTGCCTGAAAGCTCTCCCTCTACGAGAAGAATCAGAAATATCTAGGAAATAGCATGTCATCCATTAATTACAGGGCCAACTAATGGCCAAAATTGCATTACCTTTTTGTATTATTTTCACTGCCAGTCTGACTAAATTTGTTTTTCCCCCCTCTCCCCTGCAGTGGACTAGTGGACATTTAAAAAGCAGGAGAAACTGTTTATCCAAGAATTCAGAGGACACCTCACAATCACAGAACACCTCGCAAGGTACAGGAACTAGCTAAAAGGGAAGTGTCAGCTTTCGGCTCAGTGGTCGTCTCCAAAGCCCTCCTTTCTGGAGTTTGTTTCAACATAATTTGTCACCCTAGTTTGCCCCCTTCTAGCCTGGGCCCTGGCACCAAGTACTATCTTATGAGAGGACATGATTGTCTTTCAGTTCAACAAGCACTGATTAAGTTCCACTTTTGTAGAGAACTCTATCATGGCACCTGAGTTAGCGTTACACTTATTACTTGCATGCCTTTTTTTTCTCTCACTAAAATATGAGTTTCTTGAAGATAATCTACTTTTAGCACATAGTAGATGCTCAGTAAATGTTTCTTGGATCGGTGGATAGCTTAATAAATGGAAAAATCTATGGCCATAGGTGTATATCTGTATAAAATGCAAGTTAAGTTGTATAAATTTACCTAACCTACTTCCCCTAGTATTTCCCAATGATCCGAATTCACCCAGGAAACACAGATCTACCATGGCTGACCAACTCCCAATTGTTATTATTATTTTATTTTTTAGCTAATATTACTTTGACAGATCATGGTCAGACTCGGGCCTTGAGGAGAGCTACACAAGTCAAGAAAAGATCAGAAGCAAGAATATATGAGAATATGCTTCCTAAAAAGGTGAGCACAGAATTGGAATTTAATAGTAGAGGTGATTTAAAAGGGGCCAAGGGATAGAACTACAAAAGCTAGCACTGTTGAGATGTCAGGGTAAGAATTTGGGTACTTCCAATGGTAGACTCAGGTGACGCCGCCAGGAAATCGCCTAAGGCAGTGGTCGGCAAACTGCGGCTCACGAGCCACAGGCGGCTCTTTGGCTCCTTGAGTGTGGCTTTTTCACAAAATACCGACTTCTGCACATGGGCCACGAAGTTTCAATCACACTGTACGTGCGCGCCCGCACGTGGTATTTTGTGGAAGAGCCACACTCAAGGGGCCAAAGAGCCGCACGTGGCTCGCGAGCTGCAGTTTGCCGACCACGGGCCTAAGGGTAATTCCTGGCTGAGGTGAGCACAAATGAAGTAAATGTTTGTCTGGATTTCTCTGGGCGTTTAAATGCTTGAAATTCAGGAGCCTGGGTGTACTGAGAAGAGAGCACGGAGTCTCAGTTTGCTGCTCTATAAAATGGAGACAGTAGTTCCGCGGTCATGGTGTTATGAGACTTCCCTGAGGTGGTGGTGGTAATTATCATGTAATAAGCCCTCCATGGCAGGTACTTGCTAACCCTGTGCGGGCAGTACTTGTTGTTTAACTGTCTCTGCTCCGAGATCATGACTCTGCTTTTCTTTAGTTTATTAGTGAGGAAGATGATGCTCAGAACGAGTACTCATTTGTCCAAGTTCACAAAGCAAATAAGAGAGAAAGCCTTGCCGAAACCGGTTTGGCTCAGTGGATAGAGCGTCGGCCTTCGGACTGGAGGGTCCCGGGTTCGATTCCGGTCAAGGGCATGTACCTGGGTTGCGGGCACATCCCCAGTGGGGGATGTGCAGGAGGCAGCCGATCGATGTTTCTCTCTCATCGATGTTTCTAGTTCTCTATCTCTCTCCCTTCCTCTCTGTAAAAAATCAATAAAATATATTAAAAAAAAAAAGAGAGAGAGAGAGAAAGCCTTGCATGCAGGTCTGTCCGGCTCTGCGCCTGAGCTCCTAACCATGGAGCCTTGCCACGGCACAGTCCACGGAGCACAGGACCCCCGGGGCCGTGTTCTCGTCTTCTTCTCCCCGCCCCCCATGCGCCCCCATGCGCCCCATGTGCCCGGTAGTTCCTATCAGTGGCACCCGCCGTGCTGTGTAGGGGAGAGGGGCCCTTAGGGCCCTGCACAGGGCAAGAGGTTGGGGGCTTTCCGAAGACACCACCGAGCAAAGGACTTATACCACGGAGTTTGGCAAGGACAGCAAGCATTGCAGGAGGCTTCTTGAACCTTCTTCATTTCTTCGTATTTATTACCACTGCCCGTTTCCTGTCCGCGCTTAGCAGGAAGCTTTTGAGAAGTAGCAGGGCATGGTGGCAAGAACAGGCAGCATGGGTTCAAATCTTGGTGCTGCCTCCCATCAGCCGTGCTACTTGAGGGAGTTGCTTAACTTTCCCGACCTTTTTCTATAAAATTGGGGAAAATGAAGCCCAGCATTGTTATGGTTTCATTTTTATTTTTTAAATTAAATCTTTATTGTTGAAAGTATTAAATATGTCCCCTTCCCCCCCTCCATTGACCCCCTCTACCCCGTCCCCCCTCCCCGCCCCAAGCCTTCACCATCCTATTGTCTGTGTCCATGGATTATTTCATATAATTATTATAGTTCTTTTATATAAAATATGTAATATTATCTACTCAATCTTGCATCTTGATTATTTTAATCTATTACACCTAAAGCAATGTTTTAGTACCAACTCTTCATAAATATTTTATTTTTATTTTGTTAATTCTCAACCGAGAATATTTTTCCCATTGATTTTGAGAAAGAGTGAGTGGAAGGGACAGGGAGAGACAGAAAGAGATTGTTTGCCACCCGCACTCACTCCAACCAGGGCCAGGGATCGAGCCTGCAGCCTAGGTACATGCCCTTGACCAGAATTGAACCCGAGACCCTTCAGTCCTTGGGCCAGCACTCTAACCACTGAGCGACCAGCTAGGGTTTCATAAACATTTTAATAGTGGCATGCTATTCAACAAGCACCGATTAACTGTTTCTTTGGTTAGGGATAGTAATATCTTCTTGAACATTATTCTAACCTTTTGTTACAGTAAAACAACATCTTAAGCACTAGTCAACATCTTGGTGCCTAAGCCGTTTTTCTTTCTTTTGGGTAACTTCCTTAGGATAGCATCCTAAAATGAGAGTTACCAGCTCAAAGGACAGGAATGCCTTTACTTTTCTTTTCTTCTTCTTTTTTTTTTTAAAGATTTTTTTAAAATATATTTTTATTGACTTCAGAGAGGAAGGGAGAGGGAGAGAGAGATAGAAACATCTATGATGAGAGAGAATCATGGATAGGCTGCCTTTTGCAAGTCCCCCACTGGGGATTGAGCCCACAACCCGGGCATGTGCCCTTGACCGGAATCGAACCTGGGACCCTTCAGTTCCCAGGCTGACGCTCTATCCACGGAGTCAAACCGGCCAGGGCCCTTTACGTTTCTTAATGCTGTAAAATTGACAGTACCCTTTATTTCCCCCCCTCTCTTTCCTGCTCAGTCTCACCCTGCCTGCAAAATCCCCGAGATGTCTTCCAACCTCTTCAACATTTACGGGAAGAGTCCTCTGGTTGTTTACTACCTGCTGAACTACGCCACCCTGCGGCAGTGTGGCAGAGACGTGCTGATGACCAGGACGGAAATAACCAAGACCGTCCCATATCCTTCCCCGCTTCCTCTTCCCAGAGCATCCAGCCCTTCATACAGCGCCTGGCACATAGTAGGTGCCTGTCAAGGGTGGCCATTGATAGAAGCCCAAGGGTCAGGATCTTGCTCGTTTTAGTTCCACATCGGCCTCATGAACTGGCTGCGGGACCCTGGGCAAGTCGAATTACCTTGTGTAGAAAGCGTCTTCCCGGTTCCAGGATGCATGGGCTAACCAGGTCCTCGAACACTGCAACTCAGTCACGCCTCCCGGACGCTCACTGACCCTGGGGTGTGTGTTGGTCAGGAATTTTGGGTGTGTTTCTCCTAACACACATCCCTTCTCCCAGGCACATCAGCCAATTCCTGGCCCCATTGACGTTTATCCTAAAGATCTGGGAGAAAGCTCAGATCTTAAGAAAACAGGTGTGCCATGTGCTGGTGTCCTGAGTCTTAGCAGTTTGCCACAGAGGGTCAGATACGGATTCAAACAGACCTGGCTGAGTGAACTTAGACAAGTTCTAGCTTCTCTCTGGGCCTCATTTTTTCGTCTGTAAAATGGGGATAACAGGCCCTCCTCGTAGGACTTTGCAGAGTACAAGCGCAATAGAGGCAAAGGCTGAGCATGGTGGCTGGCAGGTAACGAGTGCTTGAATGGTACCTATCTACATACAGCTCCGCGTCAAGAGGCTGCCCTATCACACTGCATATCCTCAAACCTCTTCTATGTCGCATTTCATGGAGCTTTATTGTTTATGAAATGCTTTTCCTTCTATCACCTACTGTTCTGTAAAGACAGTGTAGTGTAGTGGGAGGAGCCTGGCTGGGCACACACAGGCCTGGGACAGAGGGAGACAAAGAAAAAATTTTGACATACAAACATGAGCAAGGGATTGAGGCCTTGGTCCTGAAAGGAAAGAAAAGATGGAATTCCTTCCTATTCACACTATGATAACAGTAAGAATCTTAGATGACAGTGTGAAAAAAGTGGCCCTTCTATCAGCAGGAAGAGAGAAGAACTTCATTCCCAGACAGGGAGTGGCCTAGCCGTGGTGGGGATAGCCTCTTTCCAAAGCAGGCCCACTCTGCGTCTCCCGCCCTCCGCCCCCTGCACCAGGCACCTGCCTCCAATGTGCTGAGAGGCAGTAGCGACCGGCAGGGAGGGGTTTTCCTTGACCATGAATGTCACTGAGTCCAGCCTGACCTACGCTGATGTCATCAACCTGACCCTGTGCAACATGAAGAAGCGAAGGGACAACCTCCTGCAGCTGACCCAGTTCCGGTGCAATGAATGGAGTTACTTTGACGAGTACCTAGCAGAGCTGCAGGACAACTTCCTCAAGTGAGCAGGGCATGCGGGGGGAGCGGGTAGGGAGGGCGGCAGCGTTCAACACCTGTCCGTCGTAGGTGTTAGAGGAACTCTGATGGGGGGGCTAGCCCCATGCCATCCTAAGCACATTCAGCTTTCCTTGTGGCCAGAATGTAAGCTCCACGAGAACAGAGACCAGATCTTCATTTCATTCAAACATTGACTGGGTTTTAGATGATATTAAGGAATTCCTTTTGGTGTGTTCCTTCTTAAAAGGTATTATAATAGTTTTGTAGTTGTGTTATTTTCTAAGAGTCATATCTTAAGGAGGTACATAATGAAGTATTTATGAATGAAATGACATGGTGTCTAAGATTTGCTTTAAAATAACCCACTAGGGGTGGGTATTGGTGTGGGGACACAGGGAGTGATAGGTTAGACGAGATTGGCCTTATGTTGATAACTGCTGACGTTAGAGAACGGGTAAATGGTGTTCTATACTCTTCTTGCTCTTTGACCATGGCCTGCCTACTTTATTTACTTTTATATATAAATTTTATGTTATAAAATTTCAAATAGATTTTTTAAAAATGGTGGACATAACAAGAACAAAGGTGACACTGTCGATGTGGAATATTCCATGCAGATGGGCTGGGCCCTTTCGGACACGAGTCACCACTCTTTTCTCTAATAGAGCACATCGGTTAGGACACAGTGGTCGGCAAACTCATTAGTCAACAGAGACAAATATCAACAGCACTTCTTCAAAATAGACTCGCCCAGGCCGGAAGCCGACTTCTGTGCATGGGCCACAAAGTTTAATGGCACTGTATGTGTGCGCCCATGTCGTATTTTGTGGAAGAGCCACACTCAAGGGGCCAAAGAGCCGCATGTGGCTCACGAGCCGCAGTTTACCGACCACGAGGTCCGTATTTTGTGGAAGAGCCACACTCAAGGGGCCAAAGAGCCGCATGTGGCTCACGAGCCGCAGTTTACCGACCACGAGGTCAGGAGCACTGACCTTTGCAGTAGTGCTCATGGAGTGGTTGTGCGAGTGAAAGATGTCCAGCTCAGTGCCTGGCTCAAAGGAAGTGCTCAGTGAATGACGCTATTAGAGAATACACACAAGCCCATACCACGAAACTGCGGGTCCAAAGGGAAGTATGCGGTGGGAGGCCTGGAGCAGCCCGCCCTCGCCCCGCCCCCCCCCCCCCAGGAAAGGCAATCCAGCAACTATTTTGCAGGGTTCTCTGGTCTGAGTGAGGAAGAGCCTCGTTTGCACACGCAGGTGGAGCCGTGCGGGGAAGGCGCAGGGACAGTGCTGCTGGAGAGGTCCTCACACTTGTCTGGGGCGAGCATCCACAACTCGGAGGGCTTTTTGCAGAGCTCTCTGAAATGTTTCCACACGGGACTCTCCTACAAGCTCAGGATCCTCTTACTAGTGGAAAGCAGGAGCCGAAGATGTGTGCAGGCTGCCACAGCTCAAGAAATGACAGCGCAGAAAATGTTATCCAGGAATTACATCCAAGTTTTCCGTTAGAAAACCTGATCATGACAAGGACAACTGGCCGCTGGTTTCGATCTCTTCACTGCGAGCAGAAACAGGCGCCGGAAAGTGAAGACAAGGTTGTGGCAGAAGATCGCGAAAATGAGAATGTTGTGTAACACAGTTCTTCCCTTGGACTTGGGAAAAGACCCCCATCGTTGGAATAACTGCTGGTTGAGGCACAGCTCGATGCTAGTTTATAAATATCTGTCCTACATCTATCCTCCCACAGCAGAGAAGTATAGGACGACATCTTACTTCACTCTAACATATATTTACTGCTATTTTGTCTGCCTTGAACACCCATAACCTGCTGCTCCATCAAGCAGATGTCCACATTTCAGAAGTCAGCTGGTATATTACCCAACTCAGCATTCCCACTGTGCATCCCAAGCTTATCTAAAGACAGTCCACTGAAAACCTCCTGTGATGCCAGCAGCAGCAGCCAACATTACCGAGCACTTCCTGTGTCCCAGGCACTGTGCTAAGCAACTGGCCTGCGGTAACTCAACCCTCCACAGGCCTTAGGGCAGCGGTTCTCAACCTGTGGGTCGCGACCCCTTTGGCGGTTGAACGACCCTTTCACTGGGGTCGCCTAAGACCATCCTGTATATCAGATATTTACATGACGATTCATAACAGTAGCAACATGACAGTTATGAAGTAGCAACGAAAATAATTTTATGGTTGGGTCACAACCTGAGGAGCTGTATTTGAAGGGCCAGAAGGTTGAGAACCGCTGCTAGGTGCTATTATTCCCATGTGGAGGTGAGTACTTGGCGTGGAGAGGTGAATCCATTGGCCCCAGGTCTCACAGCAAGTGCAGAGCTCCGACTGGAATTCAGCCGCCCTCCAAGCTCAGCTTCAGCTTCCTTCCCGGTGGTGGATCCCTCGCCTCCTCCTAATTGGAGGATGTGTTCCTTGGGTCACGGGCCGCCCATTTTGCTCTCTGTTCCCAGGGCTGCTGGGACCTCAGTCACACAGCAAGGGCTGAGCTGCTGCTCCGCGATTAGCTCTCTGTTCATCAGTTTCTCTTGACAGGTGTCATGAATGAATTTGTAGATACTTGCCTCTCTTTACCTACGAAGATAGGAGAGAAAAGTTCATATGGGCTCTGTAGTCTTTTTCCCTGTGTGTCTTTTCTCCCACAGGGAGACGAAGAATTTAGACCAAAGAGAAGCCGATAAAAGAAGGGCAAACCGCACATTCATCCCACCTCCAGCCTTTTATGAGGAAACCCTGGAAAAGAAACCTAAAGCCGACCAGGAGAAGGAGACCGAATTTCTTCTAAGGTTTGTTCAGAAAAAAAGATCAGGGGAAAAGTAGAAATCTGAGCAATGTAAGAATTGTTAATAATGGAAAAATACATCGAAGTTCACTCACTCTTCTGTGTCCTCGGTTCTCATTTTTAAAGTAGTCATGGTGGCAGAAAGAGTTGCCAGTGATTTCGTACTTCCTCCGTGTCAAGTGTTTGTTCTTTCTGAGATGCATGGGTCAGAGCTCTTTGGTTGCAAGGGCCAGGAAACCAGCTCAAACTAGCGTGAGCAGAAGGAAAATCTAGTGGCTGCAGAACCAGGCAGCCCACAGGTAAGTTGGCTACAGGCACGTTGGTCCTAAAGGCTCAATGATATTTTCAGGATCGCTTAGCATAACACTCTCCAGGTCCCTCCATGCTGTCTCAAAGGGTAAGAGATCCTTCTTTTTTACTGCTGCATAGTATTCCATGGTGTAAATGTACCACTGGTCTTTTATCCACTCCTCTACTGATGGGCACTTGGGGCTGTTTCCAAATCTTAGCTTCTAAATCTTAAAAAAAGATAATTTCGCCCTAGATGTTTTGGCTCAGTGGCTAGAGTGTTGGTCTGTGGACTGAAAGGTCCCAGGTTTGATTCCAGTCAAGGGCACATGCCTGGGTTGCCGGCTTGATCCCCAGTAGGGGGCATGCAAGAGGTAGCCAGTCAATGATTCTCTCTCATCATTGATGTTTCCATCTCTCTCCCCCTCTCCCTTCCTCCCTGAAATCAATAAAAAATGTATTTTAAAAAAAGATAATTTATTTTTTAAAATATATTTTTATTGATTTCAGTGAGGAAAGCAGAGGGAGAGAGAGATGGAAACATCAATGATGAGAGAGAAACATTGACCGGCTGCCTTCTACACGCTCCACACACTGGGGATTGAGCCCGAAACCTGGGCTTGTGCCCCGACCGGGAATCAAACAGTGCCCTCCTGGCTCAGAGGTAGATGCTCAACCACTGAGCCACACCAGCTGGGCGTCTTTGTTATCTTTTTAATGTCCGTAGGATCTGTAGTGATGTCTCCTCTTTCATTTCTAAGATTAGTAATTTGTGTCCTTTCTTTTTTTTCTTCTTAGTTAGCAAGGCTAGAGGCTTATCAATTTTATTGATCTTTTCAAAGACCCAGCTTTTGGTTTTGTTGATTTTCCCTATTGATTTACTATTTTAAATTTTATTTATTTATGCTCTAATTTATTTGTTTTTAAATTTTTGAACAGTTGGGTTTATTTCAACAGCAAATGTGAAACTCATGCTTTAGGCAAGAGTACTACAGTAATTATATCAGGAATAGATGATTTCATACACTGTGTGCTCTAACTTTTTTTATTCTTTTCTTTTGCTTACTTTGGATTTAATTTTTTGCTCTTATTTTTCTAGTTTGCTCTTATTTTCTAGTCAAAAGTTAGATTGATTTTAGTTCTTCTTTGGCAATATCTTATTTTATTTTATTTTTTAAATATATTTTATTGATTTTTTACAGAGAGGAAGGGAGAGAGATAGAGAGTTAGAAACATCGATGAGAGAGAAACATCGATCAGCTGCCTCCTGCACATCTCCTACTGGGGATGAGCCCGCAACCCAGGTACATGCCCTTGACCGGAATCGAACCTGGGACCTTTCAGTCCGCAAGCCGACGCTCTATCCACTGAGCCAAACCGGTTTTGGCTGGCAATATCTATTATATAAAAAGCCTGTGGTCATCACACCATCATGCCTTAATGACCAATCAGCAGGAAGCTGCATGCGTGGAGTGGGCGGGGCTGCATGCGCAGTGAGGCCTGTGCAGGTGGGCAGGGACTTGACTCTGGAGGACTTGACAGGAGGTGTGGGCGGGTTTCTGGGTCCCGCCTCCCACCATGGGACTTTCTGGGTCCCTGAGCCACAGGACTCTGGGTCCTGGGTCTCACGCGATTTCGCGCGCTGGGCCCTTAGTATGTATATAATGCTATAAATTCCTCTCTAAGCACTGCTTTCAGCATCCCCAAAATTTTAATAAGTTGTATTTTCATGTTCATTTAGTTCAAAGTATTTTAAAGTTTCTGTTGAGATCTCTTCTTTGACCCACATGTTATTTAGAAGTACGTTATTTAGAACAGTGGTTGCCAACCTTTCGGACCTCACAGACCACCAGTGGTCCGTAGACCACTGCTTGGTGACCGCTGATTTAGAAGCACGCTCTTTCTCTCTCTAGATCAGGCTTTCCCCCATCTCCTTCCCCTAGGTGTGTTTTCTTTGCCTTTCTTTTTCCTAAGCTCCAAGGACCCTTCTTTGGCCTCTGTAACTTATTTCCTGAGCCCACACAGCCCAGCTGGCTCACTTCTTCCAGGGCTCACTTCTAGCTCTGTGACTGTCTAAATCAGCGGTTCTCAACCTGTGGGTCGCAACCCCTTTGGCAGTCGAACGACCCTTTCACAGGGGTCGCCTAAGACCATCCTGCATATCAGATATTTACATGACGATTCATAACAGTAGCAACATTACAGTTATGAAGTAGCAATGAAAATAATTTTATGGTTGGGTCACAACATGAGGAACTGTATTTAAAGGGCCAGAAGGTTGAGAACCACTGGTCTAAATAAACTTTTACTTGTATTTGGCGGGGGAGGTATGTTATTTAATCTCCAAGTATTTGGGGGCTTTCCAGTTCTCTGTTATTGATTTCTATTTGATTCCATTTTGGTCTGAGAACAGACATTGAGTGATTTCTGTTCTTTTAAATTTCTTTTTTTTTTTAAATCCTCACCTCAGAATATTTTTTTCCATTGATTTCCAGAGAGAGTGGAAGGAAGGGAGGAGGGGGAGAAAGAGAGAAAAAAACATCTTTTTTTGTTGTTTTTAATATATTTTTATTGATTTCAGAGAGAAAGGGAGAGGGAGAGAGAGGAGAGAGAAACATCAATGATGAGAGAGATTCATTGATCAGGTGCCTCCTACACCACCCGCCCTCCCGACTGGGGATCAAGCCCACAACCCTGGGATGTGCCCCTGACCAGAATCAAACCCGGGACCCTTCAGTCCGCAGGCCTACACTCTACCCACTGAGCCACACCAGCTAGGGCAGAAATATCTTGATCAGCTGCCTCCTGCACCCCCACAGAAGCTAGGGAACCTGCAACTGAGGTACAATGCCCTTGACCGGGAATCGAACTTGCAACCCTTCGGTCCATGGGCCGATGCTTTAAGCACTAAGCCAAACCGGCCAGGGTTTAATTTCTTCAGGTATATTTTTTGGCCCAGAATGCAACCTGTCATGGTATATGTTACAGGTAAACTTGAGGAGAAGATATATTCTGTTGTTGGGTGGTGTGGTCTATAGATAACAATTATATCTAGTTGATGGATGGTATTGCTAAGTTCAGTTATGTCCTTACTGACTTCCTGCCTGCTGCATCTGTCATATTCTGATAGACAGTGTCAAAGTCTCCAACTGTGTAGTGGATTCATATATTTGTCCTTGTCGTTCAATCAGTTTTTGCTTCATGCAGCTTGATGTTCTATTGGTAGGAGCATACACGTTAAGAATTATGTCTTCTTGGAGAATTGACCTCTTTATCATTATATAATAACCTTATTTATTCCCGATAACTTTCCTTGCCTTAAAGTCTGCTTTGTCTGAAATTAGTATAGCTACTTCTGCTTTCTTTTTTCTTTTCTTTTTAAATTAAATTAATTTTTTATTGTTTAAAGTATTACATATGTCTCCTTTTTCCATGATTGACCCACCAGGACAAGTTGAGAGATCTTTTTTTTAAATTTTGTTTTATTGCTTAAAGTATTACAAAGAGTATTACATATGTCTCCTTCCCCGCCCCCCTTGACAATCCCCTGGCCTCCCCTACCCCCCAGTGTCTTGTGTCCATTGGTTATGCTTATATGCATGCATACAAGTCCTTCGGTTGATCTCTTACTCTCCCCCCTCCCCCCCGCCACCACCACAACCCTCCCCGGGCTTCCCGCTGTAGTTTGACAGTCCGTTCAATGCTGCTCTGCCTCTGTATCTATTTTTGTTTATCAGTTTATAATGGTCTGTATTATCTATAAATGAGTGAGATCATGTGGTATTTTTCCTTCATTGACTGGCTTATTTCACTTAGCATAATGCTCTCCAGTCCCATCCATGCCGTTGCAAATGGTAAGAATTCCTTCTTTTTTACAGCAGCATAGTATTCCATCGTGTAGATGTACCACCGTTTTCTAATCCATTCATCTACTGATGGGCTCTTAGGCTGTTTCCAAATCTTAGCTATGGTAAATTGTGCTGCTATGAACATACGGGTGCATATATCCTTTCTGATTGGTGTTTCTGGTTTCTTGGGATATATTCCTAGAAGTGGGATCACAGGGTCAAATGGGAGTTCCATTTTTAACTTTTTGAGGAAACTCCATACTGTCTTCCATAGTGGCTGCACCAGTCTGCATTCCCACCAGCAGTGCAGAAGGGTTCCTTTTTCTCCACATCCTCGCCAGCACTTGTCGTCTGTTGATTTGTTGATGATAGCCAGTCTGACAGGTGTGAGATGGTACCTCATTGTTGTTTTGATTTGCATCTCTCAGATGATTAGTGACTTTGAGCATGTTTTCATATGTCTCTTGGCTTTCTGAATGTCTTCTTTTGAAAAGTGTCCATTTAGGTCCTTTGCCCATTTTTTGATTGGATTGTTTATCTTCCTTTTGTTAAGTTGTATGAGTTCCCTATAAATGTTGGACATTAAACTCTTATCGGTGATAACATTGGCAAATATGTTCTCCCATGCAGTGGGCTTTCTTGTTGTTTAGTTGATGGTTTCTTTTGCTGTGCAGAAGCTTTTTATTTTGATGTAGTTCCATTTGTTTATTTTTTCGTTAGTTTCTAAGGCCCTAGAAGCTGTATCAGTGAAGAAATTGCTTCGGCATATGTCTGAGATTTTGTTGCCTTTGAATTCCTCTAGTATTTTTATGGTTTTCCATCTTACATTTAAGTCCTTTATCCATTTTGAGTTTATTTTTGTGTATGG